GGCCGGAGAGCGAGGCCCGGGACCCCGCGCCGGGATGCAGGCTCCGCACGCACGGCCGCGAGCGCTGCCCCGCGACAGGACTATTTATCTGCAGTCCTCGGAGCGAACCACGCGGGCAAAGAGGAGGGGGTTGCAAAGGGGACAAGAGGTGGGACGGGGCGTGGAAGGGGTGGGGACCGCTCTTCTGCTCCCGGGAGCGGCCGGTGGGGGCGGGGGTCAGGGAGCCTCTCTCCGGAGCGGAGCGCGGGGCCCGAGGCCCGTCTGACCCGGGATGTCTGTGCGAGAGGAGTTCTGCGGGAAATGAGAAGCGGGTGCTGTCCCTACCCACCCCACCTCCACCCCAGCTGATCTTCGCGCGCGGCCAGAGATTGCCGGGCCCTTGGAGGCCGCAGAATCTGTATCCCAGCTGCTGCTTCTCTCCCCGCTTTTTAACAAAACTCAGTGTTACAAGTTCGTCCCTCAGGATGTATAACTGCTTACATCCAAAGCTTGTCCGCCAGAAGGGAAAGAACAAAACAAGCGATCGACACCATTACGCACCCGACACCTCTCAGTTGCCTCCTCCTTTTCCTTTCAGTCTAGCTTTCTGACTTAAACGGCGCTTACATAGATATTTTTCCGTCTTATTCTTTAACAACAGCTATAATCTACGTATTATTTTCCATCTTGAGCACTCACGGGCGACTAAAGAAAACAAAAAGTCTCAAAAAGCTGTCCTTCGAATCCCTGGCTCTTTGGTGTGCTGGAAGCTCCGTGCCTCCCTGCGCACACCACTGGGCCTTGCATTTATTTCCCATCGCCGTGAGAATTCCCTGCCTGACTTTGTTTTAAAACTGCAATCATGTGATAGAGGACCCCGCTGTAATGCTTTGAGTCGTAGTGCTGGGAGTCCCTTACTATTTTAGAGGCCTTACTAAAAAACAAGCCCCTAGATGCACAATGTGAAGTCTGAGCAATTGTCCTGTCAAAGGGCAAAGCAACACCTAGAATCACCATTCCAACCAAAAATAAAGCACCCCACCTTCACCAGGGAACAACACAATTTCAGGTCTCATAATTTCCTGAGAGGCTGTGGTAATGCCTGGTCAGTGGATGAGCTCCTCTTTTTGGAAATGGATAGCAATGGCTGGAGACTGAGGACCTGGTGCCCTATGAGCAGCCTCCCAAGGAACTAAACCTAGGCCAGGCTGGTATTCCTGGTTTACAGTGAGGGAACTTGAGATTTTGCAGCTGGTCTTGTGGCCCTCCTGCCTTTCCCCCACAAGTCCACAGGCTCCCTGGACAAAGGAGGGGCAGGTGAATGGCTGGGTGCAAGGTCAGTCCAGGACAGAACAAATGCTCCTGCACTGCTCCTGCGACAGGGGTCTGCCCAGGGCCCACCTCATTCCTCAGGCTCTGTCCACCTTGTCACCAGGCCGAGCCTCCCCCTTGGGGTTTGCCTCACAGGAACCCTCCCGGGCCCTCACTCAAAAGTTTTCCCCTTCTACCTTCTGTCTTTGGTTGGGGAGTGGGGTCGGGCTCATTCTGGGACAAGTTAAGTGGAAGGATCTGTTGTCGCCATTCTCTCTGGCCTGGGGAAAGGCGGGCGCATGTATGTGACAGAGCATGAAATCTTTCTTGGAGCCCTTGAACTTGAACTTGACTCCAGGTGAGGGAGGGGAGAGGGATGAAGAGGGGAGCAGCGAGATGTCAGGGGAGAGCAGGAGAGTGCAGGCGAGCTCTCTGCTCTGCCCATTGATGACTTGAGGCTATCAGTACAAATACATGGTCTCACACATTAAGGGCAAGCATATAGGTTTTAAAAATCTGGATTGTTTATACAGGTGCAGAACAAAGTCTTTCTTTAGAAAAGATTAATGGTGGGGAGAGAGCTACATTTCTCTAAACAGTCACAAAAACTGTACCCAGACTCGGTTCTTTTTCTTGAAGCAACTGCCTGACCCTAGCAATTCAGGCTTCTTATTTCTTAGCGTTTGCCTTCCTTCTCTGTCTTTTTCCTTCCCTTCCCTTTTCCCTTTTTTCTCCATCTTCTCCTCTCTTTGCTTTCCTAAGAAAGTCAGTTATCTTAGTTTTGTTTCATTTATTTTTCTTTCATTTTCATTTCCCCTCTGTGTTTTTCTAGTTGTATTTTCTTTCATTTACTCTTTTTTCAAGTTGCAGATGTGTAAGAAAGATTTATAAATGTATCTCATATACGTTTCACATCAATATATAACTACGGTTTGCCTTATATGTTTGTAATATGTTTGTTAACTCGTTCATGATTCTTCCGCTTTTTCTACTCCCTGACTGATCACAACACTCAGAGAGCTGAACCGTGTAAATACATTTCTTTTAAAAGCTATCTTTCCTTCATTGTTTAATGTTAACACACTATAAGTGAATAACAAAGCCTTGATTTTTTTATTAAAAAACACACTGGGCCAAGCAGAGCGGACATGCTTGCAATCCCTGCTGTTTGGGAGGTTGAAGCAGGAAGATCACAAATTCCAGGCTAGTCTCAGCATCTCAGCATCTTGGTCTAAAATAAAAAAATAGTGAGACCAGAATGTTCAGGAAAATAAATCAGACACACAAGTTTAATTTTCCCAGAGTTTCTCCTCTATGAGAAAGCAAAATTATAAATAAAGAGCAGAATAAGAGAGAGATAATAGGAAATAGGGAGATAGATCTTTCTCACATGAGAAGGGGATCAAGACATGGAGGGAGAAGGGGGCAGGTAGGGGATGGAGAACAGAATTAAGCTGTATTATGTACAAGTACGAACTCCACACAGAGAATGTCAACATTATGTGCTACAGATATGTACAGACAACATTAAAATAAAATAAAAAAAACACTGGAACCAATTTCTACTTGGCTATGCTTTTAAAATGTTTAGATTCACAGCAGGTATGTACTGCTGCTTATCGTATACATAGCCATCCGCTGTAACTGTGCAGTGCGGGTAATAAGGCTTGAAGTTACATTATTAAACAAATGTTAATACATTTAATAATATTTCCTAATCCTAGCTTTCTGCTTACTGGTTATATGACTTTTGGCAATGAGGAGCCTGTTTCTTAATATATCAAATGAATTTTTTTTTATAAGGAAGAGCAAATATACAAGCAGGTTTCTACATCAGATCATGGCACATGGGAGAAAATAATATTAATGCTATTAATTGCTTTGCCTAACATGACTCAACTAGTGTCAGAGCCCGGAGCTGCTCAGGCTTTAGATTCCAGAGCTTATTCTGAATTTCAGATGGCACCAGAATGCCTCATTTGCTTTGACTGCAGGCTTTTAGGGTCTGATGTACACAGTTCTATTGAAAAACATTTTCTACACTCTCAGGATGGTCCTCACTGAGAAAAAAAAAATGGATGGGGCTTCATTAAAACTTTCTTCCCCAGAAGTTTTCTCATGAATTCCAAGCACTTCTCCAAGCCTCACTTTATCAACTGGAAAAAGAAACGCAATACAAAGCCTAGATCAGAGCTGTTGAAGTATTAAATGAGGTCGTGGTGTAGGTGAGATCAGCTTGTTGAGGTGTAACACAGAAGGGTGCGCAATATATAAAAATACTTAAAAATTCAGACTTTTAAAAAAGGAGCAGTGTAGTCAGATGATAATTACAGACCATAGGAAAAAAGGCCTGTCCCCACCAGAACTGCAATACTATTGTCTGAGGAAGTCTGGAGCCCTGGTGAGATGGGTTGAAGGGCTGAAATTGAGACCCTGCCTCAATTCTTTGCAAGGAGTAGGTGTTTGCAAGACAGCCATGGCTGTGCATATGGATGGGTAGAGAGCTCCTTAGGTGACACTGCTCCCACCCCACCCTAAAGCCTCCAGATGTCCTGTACTTTCTCGTTCTCTTTGTCTTTTGCTTTTTGGTGGTGGTACTGGTGTTTGAACTCAGGGCCTTGTGCGTGGTAGGCAAACATTCTACCACTGAGCTACATCCCCAGCTGCAGGAATTTCTTATACTTTTGAGGAGTTGTGTGCCTTGATCCCGAAAAACAAAGCAGCTAGATCATCACTGGCCAATACGGGAGACACTAGCCCTATGAGGCCACTGGACACTTGAAACATGACTGCTCATGCACTTCCATGAAAAATGCACACTGACTTTGAAAACATCCTATGAGAAAAGAATGTAAACTTTCTCATGAATATCTAGACTGCTAGCTGCATGTCAAACAATGCTAACATTTTTGGATCTATTCAGTTAAATGAAATATATTGAAACGCATTTCACATTTTAACTTCTGTGGTAACTGAGAATCTAGGATTCCATATGTAGGCCCTGCTAGCTCGTAACTTGGGTATGAATCTCATAGATTAACTATGGAACTACACACAGGGCCTCCTGTCTGCTTCGGTGTTCACTCTGAACCCCACGCTTGGAGGGCACGTTCTAAGGGACACAACAACAGTGTGGGCAGCCCACACTGTATCATGTTTGCCTACTTCCCTTGTCATCTGGCCTATGTCTCCATATATACCTGACCTTGAACAATCCTGCACACCCAAGCACAGAGAGATAATTCTGGTTGGGTTTCCACAGCCCTTTGTCAGTGAAACCTTCACTGCCAGGGGCGAGTTTCGTTCCCCAGCCTGGATGTTCAGCTCTGCAGTGAGGCCCGGCTCCATTACCCAATTCGTGGGCCTTTTCCCAGCTGCACTGAGGTCAAAGCACTACACCCAGGACAGCTAGAAGACGGTTCCAGCCCATGTGCTGTGCCAGCCGTGTGTTGTGCAGATCACTGCGTGTGTGGGCCAGGGGCAGCTCACAGGATTAAGGCTGA